ACTCTGCCACACCAATGGCCCATAGAAAGCAGAGTGCTTCACTTGTCCCACTAGCCCAAAGCAAGATATCAACCCCCAAAGAAGACACAGTTGCAATGGATTTCCTGGAGCCAGAAAGCCTGATGGATCTTTCTGATACTGATTTTAAAAGAACAATGATTGAATCTTTTCAATGGATAAAAAAGAAACTTGATGAATTACAGAACAGTGCTAGCAAAGATCAGGAGGAGCTTAAAAAAACAATCCAAAACAACACAGAGAAAACAAATGAAGCATTAGAGGCATTGGAAAAATAAGAAACTGTGATCCAAAATTTGAAATCTAAGGTTTCTGATGCTGTCAACATGATGGAGGGACATACAAATAGAGGTGAAGAGATGGAAAACAGAATCAGTGAAACAGAAGATAGAATTGTCACCACAGATCTGACCGAGAAAAAAGCAGAATCCAAAAAGAAGGAAACAAAAGAAAGCTTGAGAATAATGTGGGATACCATTAAAAGAAATAACATCCGCATCATTGGAATCCCAGAACGGGAAGAAGCAACTAAAGGCACTAAAAAAGTTGTGGAAGAATTAGTAGAGGAAAACTTTCCAAGCATAATGAAGAATGACAGCATATATATCCAAGAAGCTGAGCAAACACCATATAGAATAGACCCTAAAAGGAAAACACCAAGGTACATCATTGTCAAATTTGCTAGAACTAAAGACAAGGAGAGAATACTAAAAGCAACGAGAGAGAAACAAAGAGTGACCTATAAGGGAGAACAGATAAGATTAACTGCTGATTTTTCAACAGAAACCATGCGAGCAAGAAGAGAGTGGAATGGCATATATCGAACACTTAAAGAACACAACTTTCAACCAAGAATACTGTATCCTGCAAAACTGTCCATCAAGTACGAAGGAGAGACTAAAGTATTCCCAGAAATACAGAACCTAAAGGAGTTCGTAAAAACAAAACCAGCCATACAGGAAACACTGAGAGATGTCCTGGAAACAGAGATGCCACAGAAAACAGGCTGGACCAAAGTAACTAGCAACAAAACCAAAAAGAATTGAACAAAATGACAGCAATAAAACCCTACCT